AAAAAAAGGGGGGGGGGGGGGGGGGGAGATAAAGGGAAAGATAAAGTATTAGTTCAATATCAAAGAATTTAAAAGACAGAGAAATGTGCAAAAACCAGAGAGTGGGAGGTTTGGTAAGAAAGACTTTTTGCTATGCTTCTGCCATGATAGTTGAAAGGGATTCCATCGTGTGAATGTGATCTGTGCATATATTTATGCACAATTCCTGAGGTTACAGATTTTCTAAAAGTAGAGAAATAATTTCCATGAATTTGCTAATTCTCTTTTGTAAAGATTCAGATGACCATACATTTTGTTTATATAAATTAAATTCATTTTTACAGAGGAAGAAAAAGGCCAGCCACAGATGTTGCTTCGCCAGCTGTACCAAGCAAATTGGTGAAAACCAATGAAGATATGGCAACTCCAAGCCCGGCTAAACCAGTGCCAAGGTAAAAATGAATCTCAATCAAGTCTTAAACAGTACAACTAATGATATTTTGAAGAATTAAAGGGGAGGTTCCTATGATGCTTTAGTAAGAGTCATGAAGTTTACAGAATTAGGGTTCTTTCAAAACATAAATATATTGTGTTTCTTTCAGTCTGAAATAAACACAGTCGTAACAGAAATGTTTAGTATGCCTCGTATAACAAGATAGCATCATCATACCATTGGTCACTTAACTTACCTTTGATCTTCATGTGAAACATTCTAAAAATCTGCAGTATCATGTAACTTGTATTGTAAATAATAATTCTGTGTCCTTCCTAGTTCAGCGTTGGAATTGTGTGAAAAATGGCTTTCCTCGTGTAACTAATATGTATACATTATTATACAGTGCTCCAGATAGCTTGCGTGAATGCATATTCACGCACGATAATTCACAAATTACGCAAAAGAAAAAAATGAACTTGCTTAATTCACGCAAGCAAAATCCGGAACATTGCGTCAGTCTCCGGGACCAATTTAGCAAATTATAATACGCTTACAAGTGAGTCACTGAGACGCTTGCATAGTACTCCTGTTACAAACGCTTATATTAGCGAGAAGTGAATCATGGCGCTTTTAAAACAATCGCTATTTGTCACTTGGTCTCATCTCTTTCGCTGCGTAGTAAATTGTCCTAAATACAGAATTAGCACAGTCATCTGTTTTAGTCTCAGTAACTTCAACATCGTCGATGTCTTCCATTAATGTTGTGACCCGTTTCACAAAGTGTGTTTTTGTTTTTTAATTGAAGTTTCTTTTGTGATACTTTCGATAGCGGACAAGTGATACTCTGATTGTTTGTGTCGGGTAAGGGCACTTTTTTTAATATTCGAGCAGCCCTTTGTGAAAACGTTGTCCTTCTTGTGTTTGGAGCACGACGAACATTTCAAGTTCAACAAGGTTTGGCCATCCGTTTGACCAACAGTCTGGGCCGTGACGTCAGCCACGGGAAATGGTTTTTCCATCCACACCCTATTATGATATTTTCCGACCCCATATTAAATAGATATGTGTCTTTTTATTTCCATTTCACTGTGATTGTGTTCACAGTGAAATGGAAATAAAATACCACATGTCTAGACAACACAAAAATATGAATTTGAGCCATTCTTAACCCTATATTAAAAGTTTATCACATACAAATGATTCAACGTCTTTCAACATTTTCAGGTAACGTTGCTTTTAAAGCACTTCATCTTTCAAAATTTTTCACCCCTCCACTTTGGAGAGGAAGGGGTAAAAAAAAACACATGTTCAAAAGTTATCTGGAGCACTGATTATAAAAGGGCCCATATATCAAGAGAGAATTCATTCATGAGATAAACATACTCTTTGTCATGATATGATAATAGTTTTCTCTTTTTGAGTATCCATTCTATTCTTGACAAGTTTCTAACATCTGCCTTTTGGATTGCTGAATATATTGAGTTGACACTGTATTCCAGCCTGCAAAGGAACAACTGTATCATCTGTTGCAAGAGCTTTAGTCTTTCAAAAAGAATTACACTAAACTGCCCCTGTGACTGATAAACGTAATCACCACTTTTGTATGAACATTTATTTATAAAGCAAGTTCTGTTTTTCATAACTTGAAAATTCTTTTTCTGTAGAGCAAAGAGTGTGAAAAAGTCTCCTGCAAAGTCTCCTGTTACTAAAGGAAGATCAACAAGAGGTATGCACCTTATTTATGTAAAGAAAACTGGTGTTTTTTGTTTTAACTCTGAACATATTTATACGAGTTCCCATTTGGATGGCTGAAGGTCAGTCTTAATTCAACATGGACCTTTTCATCTTGCAACTTTTTCCAGGAAATATCTTGGACGTAACTGTTGACTGTTCATTGTTTCCTATACTCTTTGCCTTGTGTTCTATGCAACAACATCAAAAACTAAATTCTTTTAGGGTATTTAAAGTTTTCTGACTTCATAAGCTGATTTCATTACCTTGGTAATTTCCTTGTATTGTTTTAATTTACAACAACAGAACATGCGTTCACTGATCAGGGTAAAATCAACAACACTATTTTACTTGTATTCTTCAGGGAAGAAAGAAATGGCTAAAAAGACCACAGTTACTAAGAAGATGGTACCGGAACCTGCTCTAGTAGATTCCCCCAAGCTTGAGGTACAGAGAAACAGAAAAGGTGCTGCCTCAAAGAATAAAAAGCCTACTCCTAAAAAGGCTTCACCTGTTAAAAGAGGAAAGCGGGGAGCTGCTATTGTTAATAAAACACCAGCTGTAGAAGAGGAAGCTAAGCCATCGCCTGCCAAGAGGACAACAGTTGCAAGTCCCAAGAAACCTTCCCCAGTGAAGAAGGCTAAAAGAGGCACTGCAGTGGTAAAATCTGTAACACCTGTTAAAAAATCACCTGTTAAGAGGAGTAGAAGGGGTGCTGCTGTCGAGAAACCTGTCAAAGCAGCAACTCCAAAGACTATGACACCTGTGAAGAAGACAAGAAGAGGTGTTCCAGTGAAACAGACCCCTGAAAATGCAGCAGAGGTCAAAACTGCAACTCCTGTCAAGGCAGCACCAATCGGTGCAAAGAAAGTGCCAGCCAATGCTGAAAAATCTGTCAAGGCAGCAACTCCAAAGAAGGCGACACCTCTGAAGAGGACTAGAAGGGGTGCCCAAGTTAAAAAGACTCCTGTGAAGGAAGCACCAATCAGTGAAAAGAAAGTGTCAGCCAAAAAGACAACAGTTGTTGAGGACAAGATGGCTTCACCTGTGGTAAAGAGTAGCAGAAGGGGTGCACCAGTCACAAAGTCACCAGCTAAGAAAACAAAGTCTGCTAAGAAAAAAGAGGCTGAGGTAACATCTCCTGCTAAATCTCCAAAAAAGATACCAGCTAAGAAAGTGGAAAAGGTAGCAATTCCTGTCCAATCTCCTAAAAAGGCACCAGTAAAACGAGGCAGACGCGGAGTAGCAGCTGTTGCCACACCTGCCAAAGGAACAAAGAGGAAAGCCACTGATGAACAGGAGAGCCAAGCAAAAGTACCTAAGGTTGCAAGTCCAGTCAAGACTCCAAAGCCTTCACCCGTCAAGAGAAATAAAAGAGGGGTTGAGGCAAAAGCTACCACACCAGCCAAAGTCAGTCCAGTGAAAGCAAAGCGTACACGGGGAAAGGTGGTCACACCAGTTAAGGCAGCAACACCAGCAAAGAAAGTTAATGCAAAGAAAGCAAAGATTGAAAGTCCGACTAAACCTGCACCTGTTTCAAAACCTAGTAGAGGAAACAAGAGGAAAGCTATTGAGGAAGACACCAAACCTGTTGAAGTTGTCACCCCTACAAAGGTTTCTCCTGCAAAGAAGGGTAAAAAAGTTGCTGCTAAAACTGTCAAGGTTGCAACTCCAGCCAAGGCTAGTCCAGCCAAAGTGAAACGTGCCACCAGAGGAAAAGCTGCAAGCCCAGCAAAGACCGTCAAGGCAAATAAATCACCTGCTAAACCGAAAACAGTACCAACAAAGACAAACAAAAAGGCAACAAAAGCAGCCAGTCCTGCTAAAAAGGCAGCCACTCCAATTAAGCGTACAAGGAGCAGGAAGTGAATACCTTAAAAACTTTGCACACATACCTCTCAAATGTATATATTTCTATAGTATGTAAATATCATAATGTAATCTGTAAATATATATATATGTAATGTTTTTATGTAATAATGCCTCAACATAGATTTATCATGTTATTATTAGATTTCAAATGATCTCGTAGAGAGTCAAAATGTGTGTTTGACAAATAAGTAATATCTTGTTCAAGAGAAACCTTTGGAACAACATTTTTGACTTGAACACTCTGAAATTTTAAACATTCCTCTTGAATGTTTCATATTGAAGTTTTAAATCGAGAGGTATTTTTTTCTGTATGTATTATGCGTCATTGTTTCCTTTTACCATTTGACACCTATTACTGCTAAAACCATAAATAATTTTGAAAAACAAGTATTTTTGAATTTTTGTGAAGTTGAGTCCTAAAGACCTTTTCCCTTTTTTCTAAAGTTTTAATTTGTTCAATTTCTATTTACGGTACTTAACAATTTTACCTCCATAGCATTACCTCCCAAATATTATCTACAAAGTAGCATTGTACATGTGTACAAAAATCAAATTTTTACTTTTGTTGAGCTTATCACACATTCTCTATGTAGTTTGTGTTCTCTTGTATTTCTCATTCTATTTCTGTCTTTCTGTTAAACGCTTGATTCTTTAACATTTTTGTCTCATGTAATTTGTTTGAAATTTTTAATATATACTTCTTTGACTTGGGCACAGTCATTGTACATATGCTGTATTGTCTCATCACCATCCTCATTTTCATCAATCATTTCCTCATTTTGTACTATGCTTATTTGAAAACTTGTATCACACACCATTATTCAGCTGTTTTGGCAGTGACTATGTCTTCCCATGATATTCAGATATTTGCAGCATAATTCTGTCGGAAATGAACACAGAAAATATCCTGTGTAAGAATGTTAGTTCACTGTACATAGTACTTGTGGAGTAGTTGTAGATGAACTGAATCAATTGTAGTCATGTGTATGCATTGTTCACTCTTTGTGCTTTTTAAATTATTTGTTACTTTGTGTATTACTGGTTGAACTGGTGTTAACTATAGCAGTTTTCATTCGGAAAAGTAATTCATTAATACAAAACTGTCATCCTCATCAAATTCAGAAACTTTTAAAATTTAAGTCTTTCATTTTATATATTTTAATGGAGTTTTTCCCAAATAGATTTTAGAAGTTGATTTTAGGGGAAAGTTTGGGGTTAATACTACATCTTGCATGCCATGGACTTCTATTGTAATACTTACAAAATATTTTTTATTGAGCATATTACTCTTAAAAGAAATTTAAATATTTTAGAATCTAGCAACTTTTAGGGTATGTTTATATGTATAAACTTATACCCTTGGTGTCATACTTTTGAAGTTGTCCATCATGTTCCAACTTGTCCAGAACAAAGTTCATTATTGTTGGTAATCATATTGTTGCCTGGATTCAATATTTCTTTTATTTGACATAAATTATCAGAATTTTATAGATGTAACAGAAGGTGCATAACATTAAAACTCATCTGAATCATTTGTGATGTCTTTGTTTATTTTTAGCTCACCTTGGGGGTCTTCATCAGAGGACTGTTCAAATTGACTTGTGTCTGTCTGCCTTTCACTTAAGATCTGGTTGTTGCCACTAATCAAGATGTACTAAGTGGATTGTCAACAAAAGAAGAGACCCTTTTTCCCTGATTTGGCAAATTCATTTTGAGCTTAATCAATTTTCTTGGCTCTCATGTGAGCTATTGCTATCTGTCTTCGTAGTGTCAGGCATCAACAATGTTGATGTCAAAACTAAGTGCTCTTATTTCTCGTGCTGATCCGAAATTCCAAGACTGCCATAATGACCTCCGATTGACTGAAACGTTTTCAACTAATTAAAAATCATTGAATTGATTTGACTTCTGCCCTAGATTCTGATTGGCCGAGACAGTTTCATCATCTCAAGGAAAGCTGCACAGATGTACTCCTTACATTGGTTCCATTTTTTATGCAGTCCTTAACATGTTTTACTTTTTGTGCCAATCGAAAAAATCAAAATGGCTGCTCAGACCTTTGTTTGCTGTACTGAATTACTCCAAAGTTGGTCTCAATGTGGCTCATAAGTCTCCCATAAGTATTCTTACTTTTCGTGCTTATCTGAAAATTTATGACGGGCATCTATTTGGCCCAGACAATTTTGTTTACTTTTCAAGAACGGATGTAACAACTGACTTCAAATTTTGTTCAAATGTTCATGAGATTCCCACCAATTTTCTTAAAACCTCAAAAGTGCCTATAAGAACATTCAGGACATCTGTCCAGGGCCCGTATTCATGAAACCCTTCTCATGCTCAAGCATGGATTTTGTGCTCAAGTCTTAATTTCTTGTTCCAGTTATAAATTATTAGCTCACCTGGTCCGAAGGACCAAGGTGATCTTATGCCATACCACAGGGTCTGTCTGTACGTCAACAATTTCTTTGAACGACTTCTTCTTAACCACTGATTGGAATTTGACTGAGAGCATCCCTAGGTGGTGGGGATTCAAAATTGTACAAATGGTGGGGCTGAGGGGCGTGGCCAAAAGGGGGCTATATTGCTGTAAGCGACTTCTTCTGTAGAGCTGTGCCATGGATATCGATCATATTTGGTAGGAAGCATTCAGCATTCATGGGAGGCAGGGACTCAAAATTGTACAAGTGGTGGGGCTGACCCACTCGGGCTAAGGGAAGTAGCCAAAAATAGTTTATTACTTGGAAATGGTTGAGATCCTCGCTGTTTAACCATATATATACAATTGCTGAGTATAAAGAGAAGGATGCACATTTGCTTCCAGGATGGCCCTAGGGTCTGGCCCCACTCTTGGAGACAGTCCCTGGGTCATAACTTTGAAACTGTTAAGATCCCCACCCCAAAACTATATATACAAATGCTGGGCATAAAGAGACGAATGGAGTCATGATGTTAGAATAGACCTTGGGGTCTGACCGAACCCTAGGGACCTTGTTTGTTAGTCACAGCTTGGAAACAGTTGAGATCCCTACCCTATAACCATATATACAATTGCTGAGTATTAAGAGATGAATGCACATATGCTTCCAGGATGGCCTTGGAGACTTAACCCCTGGGTCATAACTTTGAAACGGTTAAGATCCCCACCCCAAAACTATATATACAAATGCTGGGCATAAGGAGACGAATGCAGACACGATATTAGAATTGATCCTGGGATCTGGCCACAACCCTTTGAATCTAGTTTCTGAGTCACAGCTTGGAAACAGTTGAGATCCCCACCCTATAACCATACATAAAATTGCAGGGATATCTAAAACAGATATCAACAAGGATTGGCCTTGGGGTCTGGCATATTCCCTTGGATCTCATTTGGAGAATATTTTGCCATGATTGCTTAGATATACTTGGCCTCTTGTTTTAAAAAAACTTATATTGTTAAAGCTTTGGACAAAACTTGAAGCCAAATACTGTTTTCAATATTTAAATTTGCCTTTTTGATCGTTGACATGATTTAGGTGGGTTACAAGAAAGCTGGCTAGAGTATGAGAACGTTTTCATGAATACGGGCCGTGGCCTTTGATAGTCTTGAGATATTTGCAGCCAAGGTCAAGGTCACAAAAGCCTGTAATTATATTTAGTCAGTGGCAGGCTAGGATGAAAGGCTATTAATTTCAAATGAATGACCTTGACCAATTATCATGGTCACATGTAAAATAAGTTAAAACCATTAAACGTCCTCTCAATAAACGAAAGGCTTAGGGTAATAATAATTTGGGCAGTTGTTCATTTGTTACAGTGGTCAAATGTGTTCTTATCTGATAAAAAGAGTCCGAACTAAGGTAACGAAAGGCGGGGTCAACATTTGGAACCCACTTTCATTTCTTTTCTTTTTCTGCCATATTTAGATACATAAAAATGATCAATAACTGCATAAATGATTATTCATAATTACTACTGATAACCGTAGTGGACCTCCTTGCATTACACCAGGTCGAGTGACGGGGTATCCTAACAAAATGAAAATGAATTGTGATAGTCACTGAGTGTATAGTGTATAAAAATACTGTTATTTTAATACTAGATATGTCATATTGGTAAATATGAAGTATAAGCGTAGTAATACTTTTAATTAGAAAAACATGCAACATCTTCACAAAATTTAAAATATAACCAACACTGCCAACTTGCCTATATATACATTTGTAGTTACAATGGTAGTCTATATTTTAAACTTCTTTAAAAACTTTCCATATATATGTTCTGTCTACAGAATCATTTTTATGTAATATCAAAACCGGTAAAACACTTTTTTAGCATGCCAAACATGATCAATGCCCAATTTCACATAACCATGGAGATTTTATTATCAATGTTTATCAAGGTAAATACCGATACATGTTCTGTTTTTGTATCATACCAAAACACTTTATTATATTATGCATGTTTTAAAGTTATGTGCAGCAGTAATAACTCATGAATAGGTATTTTGCCAAAGTAATCTTTCCTCTGGAGAACTAATAAATGTTGAGATTGTGTTTTAAACAAAGATATGCAGTTATATCAAAAAAAATAAAAAAAATCTTATTAGTAAAACTATTATACACTTAATTATACCCCTGCAACGAAGTTAGGGGTATACTGTAATCAGCTTGTCCGTCTGTCCGAAGAAAAAGTTTGTACGGACAACTCCATCTAAAGTAATCGAATGTTTCCGGATATGACAACTACCACCTGAAGTTGTGCATCCAAGTATTATATTTTTCATTCTGACTTTTTTTTAACAAAGTTATGGCCCTTTGTTGAAAAATCCTTGTCCGGGCATGTCCTCAGACATTAAGGGATCGACTTCAGGGAAAGTTTTCAGATATGATAACTACCACCTGATGTTGTGAATCCATGTATTATTTTTTCAATCTGACCCTTTTATACAGAGTAATGGCCTTTTTTTGAAAAATGCTTGTTCAAACAACTCCTCCAAAACTATGGGGCCAATTTCAACGGAAGTTTACAGATATGGTATATGACCCCTGACATTGTGCATCCAAGTAGTATATTTTTATTCCGTTCCTTTAAAAAGGAGTTTTGGCCCTTTGTTGAAAAAAAACCTGTCTGCCTCATAAAAAAGTGGGCCGATTTTAATGAAATGACATCTGGGTAGTAATTTTTCATTCCGACCCTTTTAAGGTGTTATGGCCTTTCGTTAAAAATCTTTGTCTTTACAACTCTCCCTTAACCACTAGGAGGAATTCAGCAAAACTGGTTCATCTTGGCTTTGGTTTGCAAGTATGTTTTGGCATGGGGAGAAGTACAGGAAGTATGTCAGTGACCTATATACTTAAAAAATTACTGATGGGAGACTATATGGATAGCTTTGCAATGCTGTGTCTTAGTAACCTTTAGCTTACAGTTCTTGTTTATATAGGAGCGGGGGTATAAGTTAGTCTTTGGCTTACAGTTCTAGTTATTATTTTCTTTGCCTATTAAACAAAATATGAAGGAATATCATATCATTTAATATCTCTAACTCAAAACAAATAAAACAAGTAAAGATATCCTTGTCCGACTCTCCTTACAAAAATTTTATTTTAGCACATTTGATTTTTGTGACCTTGAACGAAAGTCAAGGTCATCAACGTTTACAAAACTTAAATCCATTCACATGAACAACCTACTTGCCATATATCAAGACCCAAGGACCTTTAGTCCCGAAGAAACACAAGTTAAAGGAAAAGTGGAAAGAAAACTATGTTTTTCTTTTTGTAAATCAAAAGTGTTATATGACAATTTTACCGGTTGTCATTTGTTTTGAAATTCATGATGTTGAAAGATATTATTAGTAGACAACTTTTAAGCAAGTATGAAAAATAGACTCGTTTTAGAACTATGTAAATTGTCGTGTCAAATATGGAAATTTTCTCATTAGTAATGAAATTTTACATATTTTTCTACATAAATCTTCAATGAAAATAAAATTTCTTCCTTGAAATAGTGTAATATTTGGTATCAAAATACCAGGTGGAATATGTTGCACACAATGATGATATAATTTTATAGTAATTGTATCATGTTAATCCTCTAGGAGGAATTGTATTACTGCACCTTTAACACCCACACAGGTGTAAGTCAATGAGGTCCCATTTATCATAAAATGAATTCTGAAACAAACTGTTCCGTATGTAGTTCCGTAATTAAGCTTCCTATACCCATACCTTTTTGGATTTGTCTTGTTTTGAACTTCTAACAGGGCCGACGCTAATGCTAAATCTCCATAGGCGTTGACCCTACCTTTGGCTAGACCTAACCAACCACTTTTGAAGGTCAGTAAAATTTATGTTTGATTCTTCCAACGAAAATTCATAAGGTAGAGTAATCTGTAATGATCGAAAATGCGTAGAGTAACGACATTTAACTTACTTACATGTATATTTTGGCCTTGACTTTTAGACGCCGAAAATTGTACTTTGTTTATCCCTCAGGCACCAGTACATGTCTTTAGCGCATGTGAATCAACGTCACCTAAGGATACTTAAAGTT